ATGCGACCTATGACAATCTATCTACAGATCTGCAGAGGAAGGCAAAAAAGACCAGTAGAGGACAAATCATGCATCAAGAGGAATAAAATAAAATCCTTCCCAACTCCAGTGGAAGCCCTGAGGCATGGAATTATTATAACGCAAATCGACAGTGATCTAATCTATTTTCTCACACATTGGGGGATACTGACACATCAGATGCCCAGAGACTCATAATATAAACTTTATTTTCTATCTTCAGGCATTTTCCTTTTCTATTGTGCTGTACAATTATGTCCACAAGCTTCTCAGGCTCCATCCTACAAGACTGAAAGCTACTGCTTCCAGTGCTTGGGAGAGTATTCGAGCCCATCATTCATCAGATAGCTGGAAGCTTTTAGATTTCCAGTCCAAATGTACTCAGGCTTACTCACTGTACAGCCATTTGATCATGTGATGAAGTCAATATCCCTCTCTGACATTTACTTCTCAAATATATTTATAAAGTGTTACCACACCCCCATTCAGTCTTTACTGGGCTATACTAAACAAGTCAAGATCTTCTGGTTCTCCTAAGATGATGTGCATTTTGCTCCCTTAGTCATCCTAGAAATGCTTCTTTGCACTTGTTTAATTTAAGTAACATCTTCTAATATGCTCAGGCCTTAAAATCCTGCTGCATTTAAGTGGGAGCAACCGATACACATCCGAGCTTTTCGCTGAGCCCCAGGTAACTCCTTTTTGGCAAACTCAGTGAAAATGAGAAAACCACTGGCCAATATTATCCTGCTAGAAAAAAAAGAAAAAAACCCAAAAAAATAGCTTCCTGGCAGCCCCAAACAACACCAAACCGGTACTGCAATAGGATTGAATCTCTGGCTAGCGACAGATGCCTCTGCACTGCAAGAAGAGTCCGAGGTGCCCTTCATCAGCGTCAGTCTGCGCCACGTGAAGCTGAGGGCTGCTGCTGGACCTGGGCTGTGAATGCTGTCCTCTTTCACTGATCGGTGCACAGCAGCTGAGCCTGAAAGCAGCTCTCCAGCTAAATACGTGGGAGAAATATCTGCCAGAGGTCAGTCTGTTTTTCTTACCCAGGTGCCCTTTTACCTCCCTGATTCTGAAGTCATTGCATCACTCTAGGATGCCTTTATATGCCGTGAGTGGATGAACCAATCCTGCTCCAAGGCAAGCACAGGAGGGCCGTGCCTGGGAGCTGGCAGGATGGTTCAGTTTGACTTCCGCACCTGGCAAACTGGTGAGCAGGTATAATAATGGACAGAGTTAATACATATGCTTCTGCTGTGTCAGATATTATGGAAGAAGAATTGATGAGGAATCCATAAAGAGAGATCACGGACCAAATTTGTTCAGAGTTTTTTTGTCAGTCAATGAATATATGGATAAGGACAGTCTAGATGACACAGGAGGAGTCTCCCCTGCAAGCTGTTTTACCCCCTGTTTGCTTCAAGGCCCTGGAGTTGCAGCCATCCAGAGTCCCTCCTGGATGAACCAACTCACTCCCTTGCTGAGGAAGCCTGGGTACGAACACGAGGACTTCACCACATCACGTCAGCTTTTTCACCTTGCAGACAGGGTGGACACAGGTTGTACCAGATATCACTACTCCCAGCACGATCAGAGCGGTCCCCTGTCACAGCAGAACACCGTTTGGCCGGGCACACCTATCACACCTTCCACGTTGCTGAAACAGCTTTCTCAGCACTTCCACCATTAATCTTGCACAAGGCCACGGAGGGGCTGCTTGGCTCCAGTCCCCCTTTGCAGAGACCTTGCTCTTTTATAGGGCTTCACTGCTGGGTAGATGCCTCAGCAGTTATATGAGACAGGTAAATAACTTTCATCATGTTAAATTTATGATAGCGGCTCCTGCTGCCAGCTGTCACAGAACACCATGCAGAGCCCTTCCAGTTTAAAACATTAATGCAGCCAACACAAAGGCTCGAGTTGCCAATTGGTGTTCTGGTTCAGCCCAGCCTATGTGCCCCACCATCGTGTGCTGCGCTGGACATTCACAGAATCACAGAATCACAGAATGGTAGGGGTTGGAAGGGACCTCTGTGGGTCATCTAGTCCAACCCTCCTGCCGAAGCAGGGTCACCTACAGCAAGCTGCACAGGACCTTGTCCAGGCGGGTCTTGAATATCTCCAGAGAAGGAGACTCCACAACCTCCCTGGGCATCCTGTTCCAGTGCTCCGTCACCCTCAGAGGGAAGAAGTTCTTCCTCATGTTCAGACTGAACGTCCTGTGCTTCAGTTTGTGCCCATTGCCCCTTGTCCTGTCGCTGGGCACCACTGAAAAGAGTTTGGCCCCATCCTCCTGACACCCACCCTTGAGATATTTATAAGCATATATTAGGTCCCCTCGCAGCCTTCTCTTCTTCAGGCTGAACAAGCCCAGCTTGATTACGTGTTACCTGGAAGCATCACCCACCACGAAATGTCCGCGTGCGGTTTCTCTGTGCTCCAGGAATCTCCCAGATCCATGGATGGGCCATCGACAGCTCAGCAGGGGCTGCGTGTCTGGCACTGCAGAAAGTTACAAGGGGAAGGCTTGGAGATGGTTTCCAGTGTCCCATAAATGGGAGGATCCTCATTCCCTCAGGCAGGGTGGGCTACAGAGAGAAGGTACGTAGGAGAGGGACACAACATGGACAGAACATTTCCAGAGGCTTCAGCCCACCCACTCCACATTCCCCAGGACTTCTGACCTCCGAGGAACACTCTGTCAACAGCATTTCAGGTGCAGATCTTCTCAGGGTAGGAAATGTAGCAAACAGCTCCTGCAGCGGCCCTGGGGTGTCCGCACACAGGGAAGGATCAGAGCAACAGGCTGCCCAGGGAAGCAATGGAGTCACCGTCCCTGGAGGTGTTCAAAAAACATGTGGTTATGCCACTTCAGGACATGGTTTAGCATGGTGGTGTTGGGTTGACAGCTGGACTTGATGATCTTAGAGGTCTTTTCCAACCTTAATGATTCTATAATTCTGTGATTCTATGAACCCCAAGGGTCATCACACTGACAGGCTTTTGACTGCGCAGGTCAACAGCGTGGAGGGCAGGAGCAAACAAGGACAGTGTTGTGGTACCTGTGCTTCCTGGGCCACCACTCACAGCTAGCTGGCAGCTCTTCATCTTTTGTCTGTTCAAAGCAGGCCACTGAGGGATGGGCCAGACATCACATGTGGGTCAGCTCTGGTGGTATCTCCCAGCCTTTCTCTGCAAGGTCTTCTGGGAGCAAGAGGAGAGGGCCTCCACCTCGCGCTCCCCCACGGCCTGGAAGAGCTGCAGAAAACGGCCGCCATCTCGCCTGCCCCACGGTGTCATGGCTTGGCCGTGCAGTCGTGCTGCATCTCCTCCTCCTCCTCCTCTTCCTCCTCCTCATTGGTGTCACGTGGGCCATGGTTCAGTTTACATGTGCTGTAATCTCCCAAGATACAGATTCCGTATGGTGAATTTTCTTCCCATGCTATTAGGCAGGATCTTAAATACATACTTATTTCTGTGCCTTGCTTGCACTGCACGAACTGACACAACAAAGGGAATTACGAGCAACCTTGCAGCAAGGCGGTTTCTCAGCAACTTCACGCAGATGAACCTTCAGTAACGCTGCATTTGCGAAACGGCCGTAACTCTGCTCCTGGGACCCTGATTTTCACCCGGCGTGAGCCAGACGCCTCGGTCGCTTGGGCCCGTCCGCCACGCC